GACACATTGGAATAGCCAAATATGTCTTCCAAAAACGAAGCACAGTTTTAAGAAACAGGAAAATCTTGTTCGAAACAAAGAAAAAAAATTGAACTGCTATGTAATATCAATCCTTACAAATGAAGATAAGATTCAGGCAGTTTTGTTCTACAGAAGGATGATGAGAATACAATGGATGGATCATGAATTTTCTGGGAGATATAATGAGAAAAGAAGGCTTCGAGACTTTGACACTGACATGTCATACTGAAGGCAAGAGGAGCTGTCGTGAAGCAACGACTAGCCTACCTAACAAGTTTGTGTATGTGTAGTCGCAGGACACGGGCAGAGAGGTATACTGAAAAGATAAACATTGCTAAGAATAACGAAGAATAGGAAGTTAAGGAGAGCTATGATCACGAACGTAGAATATGAAGAAGAATCTAACTGACGGAAAATTGGAAGTTCTCACGTAATAAATTGGATAAATCAAAATGAAAGAATTTATTTAGATTATCTGGGAAACGTTTTAACTAATGATGGAAAATGTTATACATAAATTCAAAGCTGTATTGTAATATCAAAAGATGATTTCCATAAGCTAAGCTAAGTATTAAGAAACAGGAAATTTTCGCTAGAAAGAAGTACTCAACTGCTATGTAATATCTTCTACTCGTAAAGAAACTAGAAGAGTTCTGACACCAAAGATACGCGGTTCTTTTGCAAGTTTAAGGTGCGCAGTTTATGAAGATATGTGGAAAATTTAACAGTTAATCTTAGAGTTGAAAAGGTAAGAATTTCGTAGTCGGGAAAACATCTTTCTGGGATTCTGTTCCACAAAGCAGCAGTTCGTGGGAAGAATCTATTTGAGTGAAACTTGTTTCTTGTAAAAGGAATTAAAATGGTAGCTGGGAGGGTCAGATTTGGTGCAAGTAAAGCATGTAGCTCGTCAGAACATTTTCTGTGTAAATAACGGGAGACGAAGGAGAGGTTTGTAACGTTGGGCCTGTGGGAAAAGGAGTTGTAAATAATCACGCACAAGGGCCGTTTTTGAACTGATAAGTGAAGACTGGACTTAACCATTCCAGACGTGGCAGCAGTACACCATTTTCGGTCTTATCTGGCTCTTGTAAAGATAGAGGATAGCATGTAGAGTCAGGTAGTTACTAGAGCGGTAGAGGGAACTGACACTTTTTTCGTCATCTTTAGCAATTGATCGTATATACGAGTTGAACTTGATACCTGGGGTGAGCTGAGTTCACAATTAGCCTTCAGTGCTATGGGGGCTTATGTGAGAACATGCGTCATTGTGATAGATGGAAAGTTCTTTTTTTTTCCCGGTGAAATACTTGATCATGCTATTTCCACGTGTATTTTATTGTCCTGGAACTTACAAGAAGGTTATCTAATCTAATTAAGAATCAAGATTCATCAGAAGATTCAAATGTAAAAACCATGAAATTTTCACAGGTTCCCTAAATACTTATCGAGTATAGAGATATTAATCACTCCATCTTTGCCTATTCTCTGCATTGGAAGCCCTTCTAGCTGCCGTTTGATCAGGGTTTTCATTTTAACGGGACTTTTTTCCTTGCTGCAGCCTTTGCTCTTTTGACTGCAATCTGGTTCTATGTTGGTGGAGATTTCGTTTTGCGAGACATACTGCTGCCGTATGCATCAATGAACTACAGGAAAAGGTCAAATCTGATCGTTGCATTTTAGTATTGCATTCATATTTAAGCTTACCTTTTAAAAGTTCAACGATAATTCTTTTACCGCCACTTAATTTAAAGACAATTTGATGTACGTAGGTCCTTACTTCCCGTTCAAACAATTTTTTTATTTCATGGCTGACTTTCGCTGGATTTCGCAATTAATTTCAGTTGTTTCGAAATTTGTTTCCAATTTATAAAAATTGATATCGTACAAAAACATTCGTCGCAAAAAACACGTAAAAAAATCGCCGTAATTGCAGTAATGAAAACTTGAGAATCCAAAATTTCAGAATTGCGAATGCGGAATCTGCCGTGATTTTTTTTAATTTCCTAACGGAGTCAACCTGATTCTAAAATGATATGATTTATTGGGCTACTGACTCTAGGAGTAAAGTTGAAAACACCGACAATTTTATCTTGAAATATTGTAATATGAAGACAGTATTTTTCTTCAGTAGAACTTGAGCTATTGAAAGTTAGAGAGTTGTGCCCCTTTAATTGTTTTTATCAGTAGAAGGCAAAATGGCGGAATCTGAAAACCATTGCAGTAATAAAAATGTGTGAATCCAAAATTTCAAGATTGCAAGTCCGGGTCTGGCCCGTAATTTTTTTTTAATTTGCTCATGGAGTCGAACTTAATTCCAAAATGTTATGATATATTAAGGTACAGCCTCTAGGAGTAAAGTTGAAAAAGTGTGACATACTGGAATTTGTTTGACCCTGTTCTGCCATAAATGTGTACAAGCTCGTTAGGTAAGATAATCACTGCGTTCCTCTGTCATTACTATCTTCAATATCATCAGAAAATTCAAATAGAAAAAGGAGAAAGACTCCCCACCCCCGACGAAACAAATTCCCTGTTGCTGCTCACTGCCAGGAAAGGAGAGAAAAAGTGTTTATACGCCTACTTATATATTCCTGAATAGAACGACATCTAACGAGCGTTATGGAAAATAAAGGTTAGATAACCTACAAAAGACTATTACTCTTGTAGTCAGTTTGATACTCGCCCAGTGTGATACACTGTAAGAGCCTTAACAGTGTCATATATTGTATGAATGTTAGCAATGATTAATAAATTTTCGCATTATATTATATGATTAATGTGGCACTGTTAATTTGGGTCTTTCTTAAGTCTTTCTTGTGACTTCTATAAAATAATATGTCTGTCTTAAGTCTTTCTTGCTGACTTCTATGAAATAATAACTGAATGGGGACATTTGGTTTTGTTTTCACCATCTAGGGATATAGAAGGCAATTACCTCCCCTTGGTGGAGATAATTCATATGGGTAATGTGATGGCTGCTTAGTGAAGTCGCTCCATACAAAGACGAAAGCGGCAGTCAAATTCAGTCAGGAAACTGATAAGTGTCAAGACACACATATTTGTTCGTCCATCTGCCAAATGATACATCTTACATGTTCAGGGTACTGTTTCCTTTTGGGAATATGTGTTTCGCCCGATATAGAAAGAAACTTCAGCTCGCCTGGGAGATAGAGGATGAATCCGGCTAGTTTGAATCTGGTCATAAACATGGCTTCTCCAGGCACAGAGGTATCTCTATAATATATATAAGAACTTTTCCTTTTTGTTTCTTCTTGCACTCCGATTTGTTGTGATGTGATATATTTTTCCCTGAGTAGAATACTTGTATATGAGTATATGTAGTGTATATATATTTAGTGTATGTTTTAGTGATATAAAAAAAAAATATCTGCGTGTTAGTCATTCCTTTTTTCGTTTCAGCCATACTTTTCCGTCCGTGAGATACGGTGTGGTTATATACGGGATATAATTATGCCCATAACGAAATGTGAGAATAAATCATTCTTCCATAACTTCTCTCGTTGCAATCCTCTAACACTGTCCCTTATGGATCAGCGCCATCTATTATAAGAAGTTACAATTAAGTTTTGAAGGGAAACCCCGGTTCTTTTATTTCCAAGAAACGTGAAAAGCCTGCAGTGCAATTATCTTTTTTTAAACGTCATCAACATAAAACTAGAAGTCAGAAATGAAATACCCGCAGAAGACAATTCGACACCCCGTTGAAAGAAAATCAGAGCAATTCATCGTCTTGACATATTGGAATGTCGAAACAATGGCGCCGCCTGACGGCAAAAAAAAAAAAGAAATAATGAAATGTAAAATTGAAGGAAGTAATTAAATCGGTGCGCCATTTCATGGAGGCAAAGAGAATTTATTTGAGAGGAAAGATAAGAGAGGCGTAATATATTTTTTGGGGTGAAATCTTCGTTCTTGGGCTTCTTAACTTCAAAGTACAATCACAGCGATTACGCAACCAACTACTTGGAGATACCAAATTCAAGCAAGTACAACAATTTAAATACCTGTGAATTCATTTAACAAAAGGAAACGGTGACGCCGAATTCTGAACGCGGATTGGGATAGCGAAAAGTCTTCAAAAAGTTAAGCAAAATATTAAAAAAAAAAGAAAGATTTTCGTTAGAAACGAAGAAAAGAGTTTTGAACTAGTTTTATTGCCCTTTCTTCTCAATAAAGTTTTCTCATTTTTTTTCACCGCAATGTCTTTCACAGAAAGGAAAATATATGAACTCCTACAGAGCATTGTAAAGGAAAGAGAGAAAAAAGAATTAAACACAAATTGTAAGAAGACGGAATATATGGTTGTCACAAAAAAACGAAGAGTCTAAACCGAGAATTTCTAATAGGAGATGCCAAAATCAAGCAGGTACCAAAATGTTTAGAAATTGTTTTAAGAGAGAAACCGAAAGTGCAACAACTAATTCCGAGGGCGCATTGAGACGGAGAAATATGCCTTTCAAAAGCTCAGCAATGTATTAAGAAAGAAGAAAAAAAACATTAGTAACAAATAAAAGAATAATGAAATGTTATGTAATATCAGTTCTCTTATATGGCAGTGAATGCCGGAGCATTTCTGCACAGATGAAGAAGAGACTCGAGGCGATAGAAATGTAGGTCTACAGAAGGATGCTGAGAATTGGGTTTCCGGTATCTTCTAAAGTATACATCAACTCTATACCTCTGACGTTTCCGCCTAAACTTTAAGTTTTTATTTACTATTTATTTTTCTTTCATTTCAATGGGAGTAGATAGGTTTGCCTATCGTCCGATCCACGCTCCAAATCGGTTTTGAGCAAGAGTAAAGATTTATCCCTTCTTACCTATTTAGGATTGAAATTCCGGTTCCTTCTGAGGTCTTCTCAATAGCCACTGGCGTCTTAGGGGCTGCATCGCCTTGCTTGGGTTGGATTGATCAAAAAGATATATAATAAAAAATAAATGATCTGGCACAGTTGCCAATGTTAAAGTTCGTATCGCTGCCGCATTCTTTTTTCTGTTGTTTGTGATTCCGAATTCTTGATGCATGTTTATGAAATTCGACATTCTGCTAAGTAGATTGATTGGAATTTTGACTGGTCTGGTGACTCATTTCCCCTGGAAATTATCGTCTCTGGATTGAAAAGGATATCTATCTATCTATCTATCTATCTATCTATCTATCTATCTATCTACGCCTGTTCATATCTATCTATCTATCTATCTATCTATCTATCTATCTATCTATCTATCTATGTTCGTTATCTAACTATCGATCTATTTATGCCTGTTAATTATCTATCTATCTATCTATCTATCTATTCCAGTCTGTCTATCTATCTATCTATTTATCTATCTATGTCTATTCCAGTTTTCGTTCGTCTATGTATTTATCTATTTATTTCACTCTGTTCATATCTATCTCAGCCTGTTCGTATCTATCTATCTATCTATCTATTTATCTGTTCATATCATAGTTCATTCATATGTATTTATCATTCTATCTATCTATCTATCTATCTCTGTTCATCATCTATCTATCTATCATTTATTCGCTTTATCTAAACGACACACACACACACACACACACTAAACACACACACACACACATATATATATATATATAATCAAAATAAAAAGAAAGAACAGTCAGATTTATAATCCACAGTTCGTCACCATTTATTTTTCAAGTGCTCGATATACAGTAAAGCATAATATTATATAATATTATAATACACACACGCACAAACACACAAACAAATATATATATATATATGAGAGTGTGTATATGTCCTTCTGACTACCTTCCTTATATTCATAGCAGTCTATATATTTATCCATATCAGAAAGAAAGAAAGAAAGAAAGAAAGAAAGAAACTGATTTCATTGGGAAAACAAAGAAACTCATAAAAAAGTTGAATATAAAAAAAACGAAAAGCAATAGAAGAAAAAGAAACGAAGGAAAAATATAAGGAAGGAAAGAAAGAAAGATTTCAAGGTGAAGAAAACCAAAAGAATCAAAGAAAGAAACCAATTAAATTGAAGGAAAGAATGAATAAATGCAGGACAATGAGTTGAAAGAAAGTCGTTGAGTGAACGAATGAAACTGAGCTGGAAGTAAAAAAAGCGGGAATAGTTAAACAGTAAAATAGAAAGAGAAATAATTTAAATTAAAAGGAAGACGCACATTTGAAAGAAAGAAAGAATGAAAGAAAGAAAGAATGAAAGAAAGAAAAAGAATGTGAAAGAAAGAAAGAACGTGAAAAAAGAAAGAAAGAAAGAAAGAAAGAATGAAAAATAAAAATAAAGGTGAAAGAACGAAGCCAGAAAGCAAGATTTCACACTGAATGAAAAAATGAATTTACATTGGAAAAAAGGGAAGACGTTGAAAAAATAAAAAAAAAAGTGAAATAAAAAAGAAGAAAAACTGAAAGCTAATTAAGTTAAGGGGCGTCAAATGAATATAATAATGAAGATTGTTTGTTTTTTTACGGCTTGTCAACACTTTGCAGCTTATTTAAACCAGAAAATATTTTTAGATTCCAAGAATTTGGGGGTGGGGATAAAAATGATTTTTACTGAAAAAAGTTTTACTAATTAACCCATAACTAGAGGAGAATAGGTGGATTCATACCTTTTCCAAAAGTATTTGCGCGTAATTGAATTCAATGAACCCGACCGGATTTGGAACACAGCTGTCAAAGTTCCAATTCCAAGCCGTTATCCAACACACCATCCACACATATAAGCTTAGAGGACCTGGTATTCGCAAGCGGTCACCCATCGAGGTCCTGATGTTGCTTAAATATGGTGGCTGTACTAGAAACTGTGTTTGAATGTGGTATAGCTGGGAGGTAAATTGCCATATTGATAACGTTCAACTCCAAAGGAAGGGATTTTTTCTAACAATGCAACACCTACTTGCCTAGAAAATCAGAATTTGAAATCCTGTCATATATTTCCAAAGCCAATTACTGATTGACACGGACCTATCTCAGCCACGAGGCAGAATATGTTCAAAAAGAAAAAAAAAAAGAAAAAAAACGAAATCAATTATGATAAAACAATCAGAATATATTCAGTATTACATCTTGCTAGACGTATTGTCGAGTGTCTCTTGAAGCAAATGAAAAACAGAACCGTTCGAGGTTGAAAAATTAAGAACATTGCGCAAGAAAAAAAAATGTAACAAAAACAAAGCGAAGGTTAATTTTAAAGAAACGGAAAATAAAGAAGAGACAGACTGACAAACAGACAGACAGGTAGACAGAGCGAGAAATGAAGCGAGATAGAAAGATTGAAATGGGGACTTTGAAAAGCAATCAGGTATTTCTTTTCAGAGATTATTTGAACAGAATTATGAAGACTGGAAAAAAATAGATGTCTATGGAGGAAATAATACATTCGACGAAAATGAACACGGCACACACACACACACACGCATATATATATATATATATATATATATATATATATATATATATATATTTATATATATATATATATATATACATATATATATATATATATATATATATATATAATACTTATATATATGTAATGGTTACATATATTCTATATTGAGATCTACAATATATATCTCTCTATCTATCTATCTATCTATCTATCTATCTATCTATATATATATATATATATATATATATATATATATATATGCCCTATAATGATGGTAGACACTTTAATGCAAGTTTCTTGGATTGTAAAAATGATATATATGCCACAACTGATATACAAAAGTTCAATATGCTAAGATTGGTATATTACATATCTGAGATGTTTATTACAACGAAGAGTGAACATGCGTTCTTTGATTTCAAACACAGCGCCTGATTAGCATATAAAATGGAAAATAGATATGAAAAATGGAGAAAAATTCAAATCTTAGTTAATATATTGAACTCTTGTATATCAGATATGCAATAAATATATTTGATATTCTATGCCATTTTTATAATCCAAGATAATTGCATTTAATATCCATGATTATGAAACACCGTTATATATATATATATATATATATATATATATATATATATATATATATATATATATATATATATATGTGTGTGTGTGTGTGTGTGTGTGTGTGTGTGTGTGTGTGTGTATGTATCAAATATATATATGATTGAAAGGTAACTCCCTATTTTTGTATGATGGGCTGTCCTGTCTTCTTATCCTTTTTTACAAGACGGGAGTGTTCATTATACATAAAATAGGGAGTTACTTTTCAATCACCCTATATATATATATATATATATATATATATATATATATATAGATAGATAGATAGATAGATAGATAGATAGATAGATGTGAATACAAAGTAATATACGGGATGTTAGTAACTCTATATACGTGCGATAGCGTGCATATACGGTTAAGCAGATAAGTATTTATTTAATTCATAGTTCAAACAAAGCAGTGCTCAATGTAGTTAAACAAAGCTTTAAAGTATATTAATAAATACATACATGCAACTCCCAGTTTCACATTTACCAAACTCGTCAAGCACAAATGGTAAATGAACCACTTAATAGAGTTGTTTTTTGTAAATACTGAGCCTCATGTGAGGAACGCTAAATTGTATTATTATTATAAACTTAATATAATAATAGCGTGTAAATTCAAAATATAGTGTACAGTGACAGTCGATCGGCGCCCGTCGCTACCCAGCGGGATCCTTTTTGTCAGGGTACCAATTGGGAGGGTCGGTCGATTCTGACGGCTTCGTACCAGATGCGACTGATTCGACATCAGCTCCGTCGTTCTCAGCTCGCTTCCAATGACTGGTTACTGAAGTAACTATCTTGATCTCAAGTCTAACCTACCCACCTTGTGACTTTGATCTTAGGTCGATGAGATCTATCAAACACCGGAGCCGTCGTGCAATGTGATTCTAAACTGGAAGTGACGTCGCACAAGCAAAAAGAAACAAATGAAAACTACAAAGGTTCGGGTATGTTTAAATAAATCAAATCAATTTTTTATTATCAGTCTGTTCTATACAGGAATGTGTTTTCTTCCCAACCCGTTTCATCTGAGAGTGACACTATTATGCTTCTAGGCAAGTTCTGGTCTTCTAAGTCAGCTGGTTTAGTTTTTAAGTGATCGCTTAGCTTCTTTCGTCCGTACTTGCTGTTTTTAGAAAGGCGTGGTTGGAGGCCTGAATCGTTGAATCTGTCAGCTCTCTCAAACTGCAAAACGCAACTGGCTAGCTCCTATACGTGAACTGACTAACTGTGGAAGCTTGTATTTGCACTAAGTCGCTCCTAAAATAGGTTCGACGTACAAAACGTTAGTAACTTGATATAATAGGTAATGACGCAGAGAAATCTAGTAGTGGTCGCTGATACTTTAGTATCCGACTAACGGTCGTCCGGCATCGACTGACTGCCCGACTATATTTAGTCACCCCCCCTCCACGAGGGGCGTCATGTGGCACAAGGCCGGTTTAACTTGGGATCTCCGAGCCCGTGGGCTCGGCCAAAAATATGCCCATTGAACCCGTATAAACGGGTTCAGGGTCGGTTTACCTCCCCGAAGGAGACTCTGCCCTTCGGCGGAGCCTCCTTCGGGTTCCTCCCCGCCCGAAGGCAGAGAGTTCAACCGATCAGCCGGTCGACAAACATCGACTGATTGACGATATTCAGTCAATCCGCCACGAGGGCATCATTTGACACAAGGCCGGTTTAACGTGGGATCTCCGAGCCCATGGGATCTCCGAGCCCGTGGGTTCGGCCAAAAATTTGCCCATTGAACCGGTATAAACGGGTTCAGGGTCGGTTTACCTCCCCGAAAGAGAATCCGCCCTTCGACGTAGCCTCCTTCGGGTTCCTCCCCGCCCGAAGGCAGAGAATTCAACCGATCAGCCAGTCGATTGACTGACTGACTGACTCGTTACTCTTACTACTCCTACTTATTATAGGTGGGAGAGTCTATCAACTATAGAATAGGTGTGTTCCACTATAACACGAACTTCCCGAAGGCGTTCGCTTATATGGACTTCGACCAAAAACCAGTGCGGCTTTAGACGCAGCCTGGGGTTTTTGGTAATCCCCCAATTACTAAAAGGGTCTCTTTGTTGTCTGACTAGGAAAATTAATTACTTCCTATTTTTGGAAAATTAATTACTTCCTATTTCTGGGAAGATGCCTTCGTCCGCGAGGAGACGTTGCAAGAGAGCTATCCTCCTAGACTCCACCCTCTTCACAGTGGTACCTCACAACAATTTCTTTCGGTGGGCCTAAGTAACTTTTCCGTCTCTCTTACTATTTACCTCCGCCTATTACCACTTTTATCACCCGACCAATGGCGTCTCGGTCGTGCTATTATGGGCGAGCTTGCTTCATCAATTAACTCTTTGACATCATTGCTTATTCAGGATTTCTTATCCAGGCAGTTTAGAATTATCAACCATATTTTTAAATAAATAAATGTTTAATATTTATGCGTTGTAGATTTATATTGGGCACTATTTTGTAAAAATATTAATAAGAACACCGGATTGTATATCGTACTCTTCTTTCTCTTTATTAGCAGATTAGTCTCCATTGAGTGTGGACCTTTTGAAGATATTCAATAAACACAATGGCTCTGCTTTTAAAACAAATGTGTCGAAGCAATTGTCAACAATAGGGGTTAGTTAGCTCCTCTACCAGAAACGAGTGATCGGCGTTGTTATATATATATATATATATATATATAAATATATATATATATATATATATATATATATATATATACCCAACGGTATCCCATACTTAATATTTCTCGTTCTCTACTCTCGCGTGGGCATGGGTGACGTCACGAGCTGCGACGCGATTTTCGTTTCCTTGTCTCGTAAATACGAGTTTGTCGTTACTTTGAGCTATGCAAGCAGTAAAGGCGGACTATTATTAATTGTAGTTTCGTCTGGGTGTCATCTTTGATAATGGTTTATGTAAGCTGAAAGCTTAGATTGGATTTAAACATGTATCGATAGGGTGTTTTCCTTTCGTCTTTCAACGATGATGTGATTAAGTTTATCAGACAATACGAAAGGAACTTACTTGAAATAAATAGAGAAAACTTGTCTATATTGTTTAATTAAACATGCATTAACACACACACACACACACAGATATATATATATATATATATATATATATATATATATATATATATATATATATACACTCCGGTGAGAAGATCCAACATTGTTTTACACCTCTTTTATGTTTATCTTTTTTTTCGTCTTTCATACGATTTACTAAGACCGGGCCCACTTGTGGTAGTGGATTATAGAGTAAGAGCCACAGTTAGATAGGAAAATAATGGTTAACC